GCTGTTATATACCTATACATGTGTTGGACTTCAATTTTTATACTTGTATGTTTAGGTATGTACAGTGCATGCGCACTTACAATATATGACCAAAATCCTCACGTTCGACGATTTCCTCACTGTTGTCTCAAAATTTAATGTGTTGACACTATTTGTTTTTAAAGTAATAGATTCTTTATGATTGAAAGTACATGTACCAATTCGACTTCTAGGCCCACAGCTTTTGATTGCTGTACCATAATCGATTTGATTTCAGGTTCCGTAAGGTTGAAAATCGCTTAAGCCTGCTCAATGCAGCATATTAAGGGGCTTATTAGTCAGATCATAATATTTATATAAATTTTCCAGTAAAATTGTTGAAAAATGTCCATGATGGCTTGCATATGAAGTAATTAGATACTGAAAAGGATCTCATTGCTATGGTAGAAAGCCTTAATTCTCTTTGGATTATTCATTATTTATTTTCTATAATTTATATTTATCATAAAAATCAGACTCTTTCTATATTTAAGACTTTATCTACATAGACCGTAAAAATGTTATTACCACTATTACTAATAAATTGTACAATTTGTTGCTAATATTTAATTTATTCATTAAAAATCTCCATTCAGATACTTAAATTCAGGTCTTGCGTTTATGGCGTACGCAATTCAGGATTAGGATAATAGGATATTGAATATATTTAATATTTGAAATTTTCATGCATATTGAAATATTTTCTGCTTAGTAAGTATCTTACCTTAGCAATACCACCTCTTGTTCGTCTTTGTTTAATGGCTGTGGGTACATCCATGTATATATATAAATATATATATAAAACTTTGATTCGCTACATATATTTTATTATTAATGTTCTTGATTATTTATGAGACGATTTCATTATGGGGGAGTCATTAAAAAATTCCACGATCCACCCACCCTCCTCTTTTGAAGTATCGTTGTTCTTTACTATTATCTGGAAATCTGCATGCCACAGTAAAAGGTATCTTATCAGTTAACTACTTATATGATTTCCTAGTGATTAGGTCGTATAAAAAAAACCACCAAGTTACCTAGGAGAAAGTGATGGAGTGTAGTCTTGAAACCAAGCTCTCCAGGTAGGAAGCAAGTGCTCTACCACTGAGCCACTAAGGGCTCCCAACGCTGCGTGCTGTCTGGTAAAACTTAAAAAAATGTCTGTAGCCAATATGAGACGCTGTTGGCCGCACTGCTTTGTTTTAATAACACTCCTATTAACACCATGCTAGAGAAATTTGGCTTGAGCTAACTTAATTCTACGATCATTTCTCGGACACTGAGTCATAAAAAAAATATTTCGAACGAAGTTCTTTATGTCACGTACAGGGGGGGCTGGAATTTTAAAAACGACTGATTGTATGAAACTGAAGTCGCTTACCAGAAGACTCTTCCTCTTAAGTTTCCCCCCTTACCCCGTCACCCTCACTGTCAGTCCTCTACACACTTTCTCTCACCCTATATCTTCCAAACGTACTGCGCTATCCTCCTTCATACCTCTCCCACCTCCCATTCCCCTTCACACTCCTAAGCGATTGATTTTTGAACAAATTTTAATTTTCTTTTCCCACAGTAATTTTAAACTTAAAATTTTTTTCTTCTACAATTCAAAAAAAAAAAAAAAAAA